TTTCCTTTCCTTTCCTTCCTCCCTTTTCTTTCCTTCCTCCCTTTCAGTACTGGGGACTAAACCCAGGGGCATTCTACCATTATTATATCCTCCTTTTTTTTTTTTTTTTTTAAGATAGGGTTTCATTAAGTTGCTCAGGCTGGCATCAAAATTGTGATCCTCCACCTCCATCTCCAAGTCACTGGGTGCATGCCACCGCACCCAGCAACTTCTACTACTTTAGAGCTATATCAACAAGTCTGCTGCCTCTTTCCCCAAGACACAACTTTGAGTCCCTCATATATCTTCTTCTTGGGCCACTTAAGGCCAACAATATTCCCCTGAATTTATATTTTGGAAAAGGTTTTACTGATCCTGCATCAAGAGTCTGAATTGCATTGATAGTACCTTCTCTGGGCAACAGGAGGCTACCACCCAGTGTACCTGGGTGAACGAAGGTTGATTGGAAGACAGAAACATCTAGTGAGGCTAATGTTCTCAGGAAGAATTCAGAGGAAGTCTTCCAGAAGTATATTTTGTTTCAGTCCTCTTGCAATTATCTCTCTGTTCTGTAATTTCTTTAGATTTATTTTGGAGATCAGTAATTCTTCCTTCAGCTGCCATTTAACCTATCCACTGAGCATTTAATTTCAATAATTACATGTATTTTTCCGAGAATTTTCTTTGGTCTTTTTCACATGTACTTAATTATTATTTATAGCTTTTGCCTGGTCTTTTTTTGTTATTCCACTATTTTCTTAAACATTTCATACACAGTTGTTTTACATATTAATACCTTAAGTCTTCGGGAGTATCTAAGTGTTTGATATTTCTGCTCTCTTTTTCTGGTAGCTTGTTTTCGTGTGTACTGACTTCTTTGTAGTGGGAAACCGGAGGGCCTCCGTTGTGAATGGCTTTCAAAGATTGGCTTTTGTTTCTGCCAAGAGTTTAGGAACACTACTCCTTGGGCCTACATTAGCCTAGAGATTCAGATTATTTCTGGCATCATGTGAATGTTGAGCTCCCTCACCTTGGTTTGGGGGTGTAGGGACAGAGCCTCAGCTCAACCCCCCGGCTAAGAAGCCCAATTTGCTCTCAGGGCTGGCTCAGCCTTCTTTGACTGAATCTTTGTTCCCTAATCCATTTCCATCTTGACATCCTGTATCTTTCTCATTTCTTTAAAGCCCTTGGAGATCTCCTTTGAGCCCTGGAATACACATTTTGTTTTAATTTATCCAGGATCCAGAAAAGTCCTTCAAAGTACCACTTGGCTGAACCACAGAAGAGGGAAATCTATTCATCCATCTTCCTACAATTCATCAAACAATGTAACAATCTTTATTGAGCCCCTACTTTGTGCAAAATTGGCCAGGTGCTGGGTAGCAGACAATGAGCAAGGCATATTCCTTGCCCTCTCTGAGCCTATGTTAGTGGGAAAAAATAGGCTATTACACTAGAGGGTGGCCAATGGTGTCATGTGGGAATACAGGCACTATGGGAATTCAGTGGAGGGGTATCCTGAGGGGCAGTGAGGAAGGAAACTCAGTGGGTGAGAAGAGCTGGTTCTCAGATGATCAGAAGACAATAAGGCTACATGAAAGTGAGTAAATGCCAAAGGAGCCAAACTGAGGGTGGAGAGGCCAGGGAAGGACTGGGGAATTAGAAAAGGGAAAGGAACTGTTTGGCTTGGACAGTGTGAGGCAAGAGTGAAGGGTGTGACCAGCTGGGGCAGACAAAACACTGAGATTCCCTGAGGAGTCTGGATTCTATTCTGAATACATCAGGGTGGGGCAGTGACTTAACAGAAGGGAATAGCAGTTAGCATTTACTTCCACAGTGCCCAGAATGGAAGCACCAGACCTCATGCTTGGCTCTACTGCAGAGCTTAGCCTCCAGGCCTGAAGTATGGCCCAAGGATAGGATGGGGCCAGAGAGAAGACAGGAAGACTTGTAAGTGGTGGTGAAGTGGGGCCTGTTGGGGTTGTAGTCATAGTCGTCACCTTCAGGTTATGTATTCAGGCTGGGCTTTCAGGGTCTGCAGGTTCGGTAGGCAACAGCCCCCGTCAAGTTCTTTCCCACCTCAGCGGCTCATAGGCTGCCAAGTTCCAAACTGAGCTGCACCACAACTTAATTCTTGCAAACAAAACCCTGGCCCTACTTCCAAAGACCTGGATGACTGCATTCCTGGTTACCAGGATACAGCAGAACAAGTTGCAATGTCCCATCACAGGAAATATAAAGAATGCTCCAGCAACTGCCAGCATTTTCCCACCAGGATTCTAGCCAGCTGTCCTTTATGCTGCTTGGCAGAAGAACTGAAGAGGCATTAAGAATAGCAGCAGCTTCTTCAGTGCCAGGCACTGTGCTAAACACTTCCATCCTGTGATCCCCAGGCAGCCGTCATTGCAGGCGTTTTCACTAAATGGCTGACTCTGCTAAGGTTGCAGGCTGAATCTGCGTACTAGGATTTTAATCCTGGCATAGCCACCTCTTGAGGGTCTCTGCCTGGGAAACAGACTGACAGGATAGAAGCACCCCATTGTTTTTCCTAACAATTTGATTTTGAAGAAATTTTTATATATCAAAAATTTACAAATGTTTTTATGTACCACTCACCCAATTTTCTTACTGATAGCATCTTATCTGTATTTGTCAGAAGAAATAAATGTTGGTACTTTCTAAATTCCTTTGGTCTTTGTCCTTGATTTTCATGACTTGTGACAATTTAAGGAGTATCTTGTAGAATGTCTTCTAATCAGTTATGGGTCTTTAGGAAAAAATATCAGAGGTGAAATGCTCTTCCTACCATGTCAACCCAGAGGGCAAATATTGACATGATTTTTCACAAGTGATGCCAACTTTACTTTGGTTAAGTTAGTGTCAGTTTGCTCCCACAGTGAAGTTACTATTTTCCCTTTTTTTTATATTCTTTGGAAAGTGAGTCACCCAGTTAGGCCCACTCTAAGGTAGAGTATCTACTTACATTTATTGGAATTCTAAGACTTATATCCCCTGGTCCCTATTAAAATTTTTAAGATCAGTATGTACCAGGTGCAGTGATGCATGCCTATAATCCCAGTAACTCAAAGCTGAAGCAGGAGGATCCCAAGTTTGAACCCTGGTAACCTGAAACCCTTTCTAAAACAAACAAAAAAAGAATGGGGATGTAGCTCAGTAGTATAGTACCCCTGGGTTCAATTCCCAATAAAACACGAGAACAGATCAACCTGGAGTCACTATTTTATGTTTTATGCTTTGGGATTAACCACGTTTCATTTAAAAATGAAAAAAAAAAACAAAACAAAACAGATTTTTAGAATGATTTATTAAAACATCATGCCAAGGTTAACAAATTTAGAAGAGACCACATAATGTAGATTTTATTTATAGTGAGATCCTGTCTCAAAATAATAAAAAGGGCTGGGGATGTTGCTCAGTGGCTGAGTATCCTTGGGTTCAATCCCTGGTACCAAAAACAAACAAAAAAAACCAAACCACTGAATTGCATAAAGAGGTGATCTGTATGACTATTTAATAAGTGCAGCTTAAATCATTTTGATGGTTCATACCTGTAATCCCACCAGTTCAGGAGACTGAGACAAGATGATTTCAACAGGCCAGCCTCAGCAAATTTGTCTCAAAATAAAAATGGCTGGATGTGGCCAGGCACGGTGGTACACACCTGTAATCCCAAAGGCTCAAGAGGCTGAAGAAGGAGAATCTAAGTTCAAAGGCAGCTTCAGCAAGACTATTTCTAAACAGAAAATATATGGGCCAGGGTTGTGGCTCACTGGTTAAAAATGCCCCCAGGTTCAGTTCCTAGTTAAAAAAAAAAAAAAATTGGGTGTACTTCCTGTACTTATCTGGCATGCCTTAGGCCCTGGTACAGCAAAAACAAAAAAGTGCAGCTCAGGAGTTTGACTTTTGCCAGGTTACTTTCTACACTGGTTTTCTTAGCTGTTATCATGGTTTTCTATCACTTTAAGATCCAATGCTAAATTAAAATAGGGTCTGGAATGTAACTAATGTCCTTCCTCACAGTAATACACTTGTGCCTCAGGTTAATCTGCTTATTCCCTTTGCCTAAATGCATTCCTCAAAAGATGCCATCCAAGGTTCACCCCAACAGCAGCATTTCATCAAGGTTTCCCCTCTTGCTGATCTCCTCCTCCAGAACCACTTTATGTTTTGGTATGCCACCTCTCCAGTCCTGGTCACAACATCCTCTCCTCTCCACTGGCCTGGCTAATCTCATTGCTCCATCAGTGGGCCCTGCCTCCCCACCACAGGGTCCCGTGGCAATCCCTTGCAGAACATTCAGCACCATCTGGTGCCACTGTGTCCTTGGAGCTGGAATCAAGCTTCCGGAAAAGCAAGAACTTTTCTTTTTATTGCTGATGAGAAAATAGGACTTGGTGTGTATTTGTGGGGTAGTTGAATCTTTATGTACTTTATGTACCGATGTGGAACAATCTCTAAGATCTGCCAAGTAAAGAAAAGCAAGGCACAGCAGAGTGAGCTGCCCATTTTGCACAGAAGGTGTGGGGGGAGATACACGCCCACTTGTGTTTATATATGGCTCAGGCCTGGAAGGCTCCTCTTCTGCTCAGGCTACACTTGGATCAACAGTTCCCACTCTGCTCTGGCTCTTTAAGAATTGGTTCATTTTTAGAACCAACACCTTCATTTTTCAAAACAAGGTCTCCAAGGCCTTGATTTGCTTTAGGTGACTGAGGAAGCTTAACACCACAACAAGCAAGTATGGAAAAGACCCAAGTAAGCCCTAGTACCTCACCTCTTCCAGGAAGCCAGTTTGCAGAACCCAGGTTCACCTGTTCTACACCAAGGGCCCAAACAGTTCCACTTATGTTCCTGCGTGATGTCTTTTACATCTTCTGAGGCAATATAATATTTTGTCACTGCCCCAAGAACCTCATGTCAGCTCATGCCCTCATCACACCTAGATAAGTGGAGGGAAATAAATACCCCCTGGGTGGCTCCTACACAAGAAAAGACTAGTGTTGAAATAGCTTACATGACATTTATTAACAGAAAATAATCTGAGGAGTCCTGTTCACAGACGGCGACCACGGCGACCCCCCTTCCTGCGGGTGCTGTCGGAGGGGATGGGGGTGACATCCTCTGTGCGGAGAAGAGAAAACATCAGTGCCTGGAGCTGGATGGGAAGAACCCCAGGCCTCCCTAGGCCAATGGTCTAACCATTCAGCAGTAGATCCTATTGTCCCCCAAATGTGTTCCTATTATCAACAGATGAATGGGGAATTGTCCCACTTTCCACATCCTCAAAATTCCCTGTCAATGTCTCAACCTCAAAATCAGGAAGACAGATTTAGAAATGACACTAGGCCATCCAAACGCAGATGGGAAAAACACCATGCAGCTCCTTTCAGCAAATGTAACTGCCAAGAGACACCAAACCAGGCTCTGTACAAAATAGGAGCGGTACTTGATTTCTGGGATCAATAAATACCCCCTGGGTGGCTCCTACACAATAAGGTTTCATTACATTTCTTGGAAGTCTAAGACTTATATCCCCTGGTCCCCATTTATTAAAAAAATTTAAGATCAGTAGGTGCCAGGTTAGTTTAAAAACTAACCTGTGTGTGTTCGTGAGGGGGAGACTTACCAATCCGCCCAATCTTCATTCCCGAACGAGCAAGGGCTCTGAGAGCTGACTGGGCCCCAGGTCCAGGGGTCTTGGTCCTAGGAAGTAGAAGTTCAAGTTAGACAAGTCAATGGTAATCTCAATAAGATCTCATAAATTCTCTAGTTCACAATTCTCTAATGACAAACCTCATGTAAAGGGCCAGACAATAAATATTTTAGGCTTAGTGGGGTTACTATCGCTTCTGTTGTATAGCCAACAAACAAAAATTCCTTTAACTATTATTAGAGTAATTTGTACAGTCAGTACAAAAAAAGAACAGCAGGTCAACCTAGTCATATGCTCTGCCTGCAGCCAGGTAAAGCCCCTTCCCTTCATGCCACATGCTGTGACTCTTCTTTGCTGCTCTGTCCAAGACACTACCACCTCTGCATGGAACCACTTGAATAGCGTTCTATCTGGTCTACACCCTACCTGGCAATCATTTATTCTAGCTTTCATGCCCAATAAAGCCCAAATTGTTGTCCTGTTCTATAAGACCAGCAAGGCTCCACCCCTGCATCTCTCCAATCACACTTCATGCTACTTTCCTCCTCCTAGTTGCCCAAGCTCATCCTTACCCCAAGAACTTTTTCTTGCAACTGTCTCTAGCTGGAATATCCTCCTTCTGTCTTGCCCTCTCTGAAAGACTTCTGGATATCATTTAGGCCTTAGTTGAAAATGTTATCACTAACTCCATACATTCTCTTCCTAGCGTTTGCCACAAATAGAGGTCACACACCCACTGCTGCTCTATTTGCTTAAAGTCTGACTCTCCCACAAGCCTAAGTTCCATACAAGGAGAGGTCAAAGTCATTATCTGCTTTCTTCCTTTAATCTTTTTTTTTTTCTAGTATTGGAAACATAGTGATTGGTATACAGTGGGCACTTGATAAGGGTGGGGTACATCCAGGAGCCAATTATATGTATATGCCTAAAATATCTTGTATCAGATTACAACAGAAAACCAAATCTCTCARATCTAAGTGCTCTGGCACCTAAGCCCAGCTGTCTTACCACCACCCATCTCCAGCCTTATATACCTGTTTCCTCCTGTGGCCCGGAGTTTGATATGTAGGGCAGTGATGCCTAGCTCCTTGCACCTCTGGGCTACGTCCTGGGCAGCCAACATGGCAGCATATGGAGAAGATTCATCTCTGTCAGCCTTCACCTTCATCCCACCTGTCACACGACAGATGGTTTCCCTGGGGATAAAAGCAGAGTCATTCTTTTTCATCTCCCAACAATGATTCACTAAGTGATTATCATGTCTAACAAATAAAGACTGCCACAACTCAGGTATGGCAGAGCTTGAGTCAACTTGAGTATATATCCTGATCCTGGACGAGAGTCATGAGCTCTGACTTCATGGGGTTCAGTTTAGTGGGCTGAAAGACACAATACAGCTAAACTTTATATTTTACTTTTGCATTCAATCTTTAAAGATTAGTCTATGAGGTGTGTATTAATATCTTCATTTTATGTAGGAGAAAAATCAAAGTCAGAATCTGAATGACTTCACAAAGAATGTCTCCTTTTAATTCCTAGAAAATTATGCATTTTTGGACAAAACGAGCAAACACATTTCCTTACCTGGAGACAAAGCATTAATTCTTTAGACAGAACTTCCTAAACTGGGGACATTTCTTCCCTCAGCCTCTTGCCAGGTGGGTTTTGTGCCTCTCCACCCAAGTACTCACTTGCCAGAAAGATCAGTGACGTGGACAAAGGTGTCATTGAAGGATGCAAAGATGTGGCAGACACCAAATACATTCTCTCCTTCAGCCACCTGAGGTCCAAGGCTGATGACCTGTTCTTCCTTCTTTTCCTTTCCCTTGCGAGGTGCCATTTCTGAATAAAAAGAACCTTAGTGTTAATGACAAGATTTCCATAGCTAGGTGTGATGGTGCATGCCTGAAATCTGAACACAGCTCAGGGGGCTGAGGCAGAAGGATTATAAATTCAGGGCCAGCCTCAGAAACTTAGTGAGGTCCTATCTCAAGATAAAAAAATAAAAAGGATCAGGGATATGGCTCAGCGATTAAGTGCCCTTGGGTTTAATCCCTGGCATGCAAGCACGCGTGCACATGCACATATACACACACACACAAACCAAACCACCCAGAATCTGCTGTTTGTAACTTTTAAAGAAATCCCAAATTTTGCTTCTTTTTGTCCCTGATTCCCTATACCTAGGACTATGGTGTTCTTCCTCATCTGTGTCTCACTAAAACCCATTTTCCCCTGTACTTGGTTGATGTCAACTAGTGGCTAAAAAGCAATGTGCTATTAGGTAACCCTTCTCCAAAAACTAGCAAAGCATAGCTACACAGAACCTTCAGGATAAGCCTAAATCCTAGCAGCTGACCAAAAGTACCCCTAATTTCTACCCAAAATAAGGACAACACATGCTTAGGTCTCTGCAGACCTGAGTTCAACTGGCAATTTTATCTAACTGGGTGAATCAATTATGTTTTCAGTGGTACGAGGGATGGAACCCAAGGTCTTACATATGCTAGGCAAGTGCTCTACCACTGAGCTACATCCTTAGCTGGCAAATCAATTCTTTCTGACCCTTCTTGTTTCAAATATATTAAGATTAAAAAAACTTTTTGTTGATTTATCCAGGGTAACACAGCAATTTAGTTGCAGAAATCAGAACCCGTTTAGATTAATTCTTGATCCACACACAGTAATGCTAGGAGTACTTCTAGGTTTCCTGGCCCTGGATACTATATACAGGCTAGACCCAAAGAAGCCTGAAATACTATATACCAAAAGGCAATGCCAAGGCTAATACCTATCTATGTATTAGCAATGGTGCTCCAAAGATTCTTTATTCAAGTGGGGAAAAAAAAACTGGCCACATAACCAATTCCTTGGCTTAGCATTCAGGGATCTTTTGCCAATATGGCCCTCAACCCTCATTTCCTAATTCTATGCTCTACCTGTTCTCTCCCACAGCCAATCTAAATCATCTTCGCCTACCAACTTATCTCCTTCTACTACTGCTTAGAACCAAGTCCTTAAACTTTATACTAACACCAAATATTAAAGGCACTAAAACATGCCCTCCAGAAAAAGACCCACTCCAGAAATCCAATTGGTTCATGAAACCAAATAGCTCTAACCTGACATTGTCTATAACGTTAAGTGAAATCACAGGAACATAGGACTAGCAAAAAAGGCACACTGACAGGGGTGAGGAGAATGGGCAAGGCTAGAAGGACTGCTTCCTGCCTAAAGACCCAGGCCTTCTAACCCCTCTGAGGCTCAAGCATCAGAACAATTTCTTAACATTATCAGAAGACACCAAAACTATGAAGGGCTCAAATGAAATCAGGCTATAGCCTGCAGAAGGAGTTAAGACAAGAGGTGCCACCTAAGTACATACCATTTCAGCCCTGTACTCTGGCCAGATCCTTCTACTTCACAATTACCCTAGATTTTAAAAGTCTGATTCCAGTGCTCCTGGATCTCTCTGGTGCCTTTCTTGTGTGCAAAACCACCTATTCCCACCTTCAAATTAGATAAACGAAATTGGTACTCAGTGGGTAAGTACTGTTAAGGAAGGTGCCACAGGAAATCTTACCTAAGCGAGTATTATATCCAGTGTCTACCTGCATTTCCCCGATCCTAAGGCCCTCAAGTGTTGAGGAAATGGTCACTCAGGGATATTAACATACCTCAAACACTGATGTGCAGTCCCTACCATCAGCTTCTGAGTCGGGCCCCGAACTAGCATCAAGAATCACCCTGATTCAGAAGCACCCAACACAGGGCCCGAGTCTTTCCTGCATTCTCTCCCTGAATTCTCACTACAAACGCATAGGACCGATGCTATTAGTCCTATTTTCCAAATCCTAACTTGAGATTAGATACGGGTCTGCAATCGCCCAGGAAGAAGCTAGCGGGGTAGGGTGGGAGGAGCCCACAGACCACAGTCTCTGGGTCCCGTAAGTCACGCTGTGCAGTCGCTGAAACGTGACTTAGTTCAGAGCCAAGTTCTGGACTCAAGTTCGTGTCCACTTCACAGAAATAAGCCTCCCCCCTCCCCCCCCCCTTTAAAACCAGGCGACCTCCTTCCGAGACAAGGCGCGAAGTTGATCCTAGACTGGCCGGGCTCGGAGTCTGCCGGTAGCGCGTCTCTTGCCCAGCACCTGACTTGGCCTCCGCGGAAAGACCCCACTACCACGTCCCGAGCCCCGCCGGGCCCTCTGGCCACAGGATGCCGCACGATTATRGTGCTTAGGCCTCATACCTGCGCGTCGCCTCCAGACTCTGCCACCGGAAAGAGAGATTGGGAAGGGGCGGGGCGATGGGTCATTTCCGACTGCCGGAAGTATACCGCTGAGGTCACGGGGGCGAGGTCGGCTCCCGGAATTCGACGCTTTTATTGCTCACGAAAAGATTAAGACTCCGCCCTCGGGGAAGATAGTTTACTTAAGGGAGAGCGAAAAGAGGCACGGGGATGAGTGTTGCGCAAACGGGCTTGCCTACGGGACCGAACGAACCGGATACACCCACGAGGTGAGGCGGTTTTATGTTCCAAGATGGCGGGGGGCTGCGACTTCCGCCGTCCAAACCCCGAGCCTAGCATCCTGGGAGTGGCAGCGCACCTAGTGGCGCGGAGGGGAAGAACAACAAGAGACTTCTAATAATGTACCTTTGGCTTATTTTGTGCAGCCCCGAGCAAAATAAGAATGTTTATATGCCAGCCTGTGCTAAACAATTTATATGCTTCATTTAATTCTCATATTTTCAAGCAGCTTTTGGTTTCCCTTGTACAGATAAGGGATGCTAACAGAGACCACATAATTGTAGTGGGTATGATATTCTGATTTAAGACTTGTATGCTCAATAGCTATTTCCATATATCCCTTTAATAATAATATAGAAGGACCTTGAAGGACTGGAAGAATGTGTAGATGGAGATGTGGAAAGGGCCAATAAGTGTATCTAGCAGAACTGGGTAAACATGCATACATTGCATGCACAATATATATGAAATCTATATAATGAAATGTAGATATTGTGTATATTGGAAAAAATGAGCTAGCATGAAGAATAGCATATGTCTGTATGAGCTGTTGACCACTTTGAAAGACTTCAGTTTATGTAGGCATTTTTTTTTTTTTTTTTGTACTTGGGATTGAACTCAGGGGCCATTATACCTGGCCAAAATTTTTCAAAAAAATTTGTAGTATCCTCTTTTCACTTTATAAAAACAAGTAATTGCTGGGCATGGTTGTGCATGCCTGTAATCTCAGCAGCTCCAGAGGCTGAGGCAGGAGGATCATGAGTTCAAAGCCAGCCTCAGCAATTTAGTGAGGCCCTGAGTAACTCAGTGAGGCCCTGATTCTAAATAATATACAATAAAAAAAAGGGATGGGGATGTGGCTCAGTGGTTTAGTGCCCCTGGGTTCAATCCCTGGTACCAAAACAACAATAACAAAAGAAACAATTAATTACAGAAACATGAAAAGAACAAGAAAGAAAAAAGAAGTAACAGTCTTAATCACTGCTGTTCATAACTAGGCACATGTCCTTCCCAGGAATCACTTATGCATGTACATACAGGAAAAGACTCTCTCCTTTAAAATTTTTTTTTGTAATTAGTTATACGTGACAGTAGAATGCATTTTGACACATCATGCATAAGTGGAATATAATTTCTCATTCTTCTGATTGTAAATGAGTGGAATCACACTGGTTGTGTAATCATATATGTACATTGGGTAATAATGTCAGATTGTTCCACTGTCCTTCCTACCCCCACTACCTAATCCAAAGTACCTCTCTTCCTCCCTAGCCCTGCCCCTTATTGTGAGTTAGTGTTGGAATATCAGAGAAAACATTTGGACTTAGGCTTTTTGGGGATTGGCTTATTTCCCTAAGCATGATGTTCTCTAGCTCCATCCACTTACCAGCAAATGCAATAATTTCATTCTTCTTTAAGGCTGAAGGACTCTCTTTTTTAAGAAAAGAAAAGAGCTTTACAATAATTTGCCTTTTATGGTTTTTTAAAAAAAAAAGCTATGCTCATTATAAATAGTCCACACAATACAGAGAAGTATGTAGTAAAAAAGTAAAAATTGCCCCCCTAAGTTTTCCTTCTAGAAGTACACTATTATGAAATTAAAGTACATTATTCCAGAAACATTTTATACCCACATGTATACCAATATCTTTAGTATATAATCTACAATTTTATGTAAAAGAAAATTACATTTTATTTGCTATTTTGCTTTTTTTCACCCAACATCATTGTAGATACCTTTCCATAACAACCAGTAGAAATCTGTGGCTTTTTATGTATTTATTTGTTTCCTTGCTTGTTTATTTATTTAATTTTGCAGTACTGGGTATTAATCCAGGACCTCACGTACACTAAGCAATCACCCTACCACTGAGCTACATCCTTAGTCCTTTTGTTTCTAAATTTTATTTGAAACAGGGTCTCACTAAGTTGCCTAGGCTGATCTCAAACTTGAGATCCTCCTGCCTCAGCCTCCAGGGTAACTACTGGAAGTACAGTTGTGAGCCACTATTCCTGGGCCTATAGAAAAAAAAAAAAAAAAAAAAAAATATATATATATATATATATATATATATATATATATATTCGTTTACTTTTTTAAGTTGTAGGTGGACACAACACCTTTATTTTATTTTTATGTTGTGCTGAGGATCAAACCCAGGGCCTCACGCATGCTAGATGAGTACTCTACCTTTTAGCCATAACCCCAGCCCCCTATAGCATTTTTTAAAAGAAATATTTAACTTTATTATTTTGAATATAAAGTCATTCACAAACTTTTTAAAAAATATTTATTTTTTAGTTGTAGTTGGACATAATAGCTTTATTCTATTTATTTATGTGGTGCTGAGGATCAAACCCAGGGCCTCGCACGTGCTAGGCAAGTGCTCTACTGCTGAGCCACAACCGCAGCCCCACACAAACATTTTTTTAAAGTTACCAAAAAGCATACCAAAGTCTCCCCCCAAAATTATCTTTTCAACTGTGTCCCCAGAAATCCTCTTCCTTACTAGTTACCATGTTGTGTCTTTTTAACTACTATTGGTATCACTTTGTATAGCTGTATAATTGCTTATTTAACCAGTTCTTTATTGATGGATGTTTAAATTAATCTCTAGAATTTTCAAATATAAAACTGTCAAGAACACACTTGTCCTGGATGTGGGGTGGCACAGCCTGTGGTGGTACCAGATGCTCAGGAGGCTGAGGCAGGAGGATCACTTGAGTCCAGGAGTTTGGGGCCAGCCTGGGCAATGTAATGAGACCCCATTTCTTCAACCAAACAAAACAACAACAAAAATAACCCACTTCTGCTATCCCTTCCTCAAGATAAATTGCTTGAAATCAAAGGGAACATGCATTTAAAAAAAATTTTTTTTTTTGGTATCAGGGATTGAACCCAGGGGCATTTTACCAGTGAGCCATGTCTCCAGCCCTTTTTATTTTTGAGAAAGGCCTTGCTCTTTTTGCTTAGGGCCTCATGAAATTGCTGAGGCTGGCCTCAGACTTGTGATCCTCTTGCCTCAGCCTCCCAAGTCACTGGGATTACAAGCGTAATCCATTGTTCCTGGCATTAAACTTTGATATATGTTGTTAAATTTTTCTCCTGAAAGTTTGTATCACTTCACTTCTATAAGCTGAGAAGCTAAGTACATCCTTGTTGCATCCCTTCTCTTCATGATTAGTGAAGTCAGACATCTTTCTGAATGTTTTGACCATTTACATCTCTTCTATTAATTGTCTCTCTGTGTTCTTTGAAGGCCAGGGCTTTTTGTTCTCAGGTAGTGTGTTCCCCAGCAGAGTCGGGATAGTGGTGGAGACTGGAGTATTGTGGGATGAGCTCCTGTTTGAATCAGCATTGTACTAAACAGAGACCTCTCTACCTGGCAGAGCGAAGGCTTTGTGGAGGGAGCGTGGCCAAAGGCAGCCCACACAGTTTCTTCAGGACAGATTTTTCCACAGAGAAATAAGAGAAGTCTTATTTCAGAAACTATAGTAGTTACTACTTCAAAACTCCTCTTGGATTATTTAATCAACACGTTTGTGATTCTACAAATAGTTTTTAGCTGTGTATTCTTTTTTTTTTTAAGAGAAAGAGGAGAGAGAGAGAGAGAGAGAGAATTTTTTTAATATTTATTTTTTAGTTATTGGCGGACACAACATCTTTGTTTGTATGTGGTGCTGAGGATCGAACCCGGGCCGCACGCATGCCAGGTGAGTGCGCTAACGCTTGTGCCACATCCCCAACCCCTTAGCTGTGTATTCTTGAATAAAAATTAGAGCCTTATCTAGGGATTAGTTTTCTCATATATAAAATGGTATAATAATAGTGCTTTTAAAAACATATTGATTCCGGGGCTGGGGATATAGCTTAGTTGGTAGAGTGCTTGCCTTGCATGCACAAGGCCCTGGGTTAGATCCCCAGCACCAAAAAACAAAACAAAACAAAAAAACATATTGATTCTGGCGTGGTGGCACATGCCTGTAATTCCAGTGACTTGGGAGGCTGAGACAGGAGGATTGCAAGTTTGAGGCCAGTCTCAGCAACTAAATGAGGCCCTGAGCAACTTAGACCCTGATTCAAAATAAAAAATAAGAAGGGCTGGGGATGTGGCTCAGTGGTAAAGTGCCTCTGGGTTCAATCCCTAGTACAAAAAAAAAAAAAAATTGTTGAAAACATATATCTTTGTTGGACTCCTACTCTGTAGCCAAGCTCTAGGATACAATCATAATGGTATTTAAACTAAGACTTGAAAGTAGAGTAGGGAAGCTGAAGCATGGAGTGGCATGTACCTGTAACCTCAGCTACCCCAGAGGCTAAGGCAGGAGGATCACAAGTTTGAAGCCAGCCTTGGAAATTTAGTGGGATCCTGTCTCAAAATAAAAATTAAGAAGGGCTGAGGTGGGCTGGGGTTGTGGCTCAGTGGTGAAGCACTTGCCTTGCATGCATGAGGCCCTGGGTTTGAGCCTCAGCACCACATAAAAATAAATAAATAAAAAATGAAAATATTGTGTCCATCTACGACTAAAAATATATATATTAAAAAAAAAGAAGGGCTGAGGATGTGGCTCACTGGTATAGTATCCCTGGGTTCAATACTCAGTAATGGAAAAATGAGTAAATATATGAAGTAGAAATTAGCTAAATTAAGACAGGAAGAATGGAAGAATGGTCTGAGTGTGGAGAATCGTACGTGCAAAGGTCCTGAGGTAAGAATGTGTTTGGAGAGTTCAAATAATTAAAACTTAGCTAGTATGACTAGTGTGCTGTGAGAAGGGCAGAGGGATGAGC